CGAGGCGTCGGACTCGGGCGCCCAGCAATTGCGCGGATGGCAGGAGAACGTCTGCCGCCCCCTTTGCAGAAACCCGAAAAGGGCAGGGGGGCTGCCATCGAGATCGAGAACACTAGTGATGCGAAGGGGCCTTAGGAGGCCCTTCGTAGTTCCATGAGTAATGCTGGAATGATCAGCAGCAGACCGCGGCTGAAAGTTATTGGGCGCATCTCGTTCGCCCCCAGGCACTGGCCGTCGGCTGTTCCAGGGCCGTCATTCCACGGAGGGGGCGTGGGAACCGTCCAGATTGAATATTTGCATGACGCGTAGGCGGGCAGCTGGGACCCCCTGGATAGCGCCAGGAAAGGTATCGCAGCCGCCGTTGCCTGGCCGTGCTTATCCGAGGTCTTTTCCCGGGTTAGATCGCGGATGGCTCATGGGGAGTGGGGTGGGCCTGGTTATGAAGAGCAGCGCGCGCCGCGGCGCTCTTGGAGGGTGATGGAAGGGGTCTGCATCGGGGGGTCTGCAACGGTGGCTGGGTGGCCCATGCATGCTCAATCGATCCGTCATGTTTATGTCCGGGCATGATTATCCGACGTTGGCGGTCATAGAGGGCCAGTTTCCCGAGCCCGCGCGTCGCCCGCGCGGGCGAACGCGCCGTCCACCCATCGTCGTTCATGAAGGCGGGCGTTATTGATATCGCGCGCGGGGCGGCGAAGTGGAGTGCAAGTGCGTCTCGATTGTGCGATTTATGATCGCGCATGTTTCCAAGCGCTGGCTTGTCGACCCCTACGACAAATCTGGAACGCGCCCCACGATTCTCCCAAACTGTGTCTTAACATTTTTCCCAACGTGCGAATTCACATGTACCTGTTTCCTGAAATCTGAGTTCGCATTCTGGCCTCTGCAGAACGGCCCTATACTGAACCCAATATAAGTTCACATTATTCTTCCTCGTCTTCCAAAGTGTGAATTCGAAATTCCATGTTTCTCAAAGTGTGAGTTAACATGTTGTTTTTCCCCGCAATGTGAATTTGCATTCTGCCCTGGCCCTCAAGAGTCCCAGAACTGAAGCGCAGCGTTCCGCGCGTCAGGTTGGCTGGGCAGATTTTGACATTCACCTCGTCGCCTTCGTTCATTCCAACCTTCTCTTCTCTTCTTGCGCGCTCGCCGCGCGTTGCCTTCGCCGCCTCTCCCCGGCCCCCCGCCCCGCGCCCCCTTGCGTCGGTCGCCCTCGAGTCCCGCGCAGGGGCGCTGGCGGGAGCTTGAATTGGTTCCTCCGCCGAGCACAGCAATCGAGGATGCATCGCCCACGCGTGGCCCGTAGAGCCACCGTTGCCGGGGCCCTGCGCCGCGCCCCCACATTCACTCTCCAACGCCCTGGCGAAGCGGGCCCACGCGCGCGCGACGCAATGCGCCTCGCGCTCCAGGTTCCGAAGACGCGCAGCAACCGCGACGAGACATGCGTAGGAGGAAAGAAAAATAATTGTTCTGCGAAAGCATGGGCTCTCAGCTGCAGCATGTCAAAGATAAGATGTGGAGAGGCGGGCGCGCCCTTGCGGCGGCGTCGTTCCTGGGCTCAAGCAGCGTTGCGTCTGCAAAGAAGGAAGTGGGCAGACATGATGATGTGAGGCCCTCGAAAGTGTTTCCGACACCCTTGGCAGAGGATGGGCGTTCAGCGACGATGCGAAGGCGCGAGGCGCCCGTTCCAGGATGGAGCGCGCCATCGGACTGCGCGGAATATAGTTCATTGCGGCAGCGACCCGCATGATGCAGGGTCATGTCGGGGCACAACCTCAGAGAGACATGCGGGGGGCTGGGGGCGAATGTTCTCAGGAACTGATGCCAACAAGAAAGGAGCGATTGATGATTGATGGTGAGACGGAACCTGCGGCGCCCAGGCCTGTCCTGCCGTCGGCGCCCGGGAAACCTCCGGGGCTGGACCGAGCTCGGCTGTCTTCCAATGGCGAGGGGCGGCGGGCGCGAGAGATCGCGGCGGTGCCGCGACGGCCAGCCCGAGCGTCCGCGACGGAGGCTCCGGCCGCGGGCGGGGGGCGTCGCGCGGGCGCCGCGGCGCCCGCGGCAGGGCCGACGCCGACGAAGTGACCATGGTCACGGAGCAGACTTGGCGAATGAGACTTAGAGAAGTCGCGCGCATCCCTCGGACGGTGCCCCTGCTGGCAAGTATCGTTCCTCGGGCGCGGGGAATGGCTGGGGCAAGGCCATGGAGGCCGAGGTAGCAGGGGCGCGCGGGGCGACGAGAGCGGCTGGTGGACCGACGATCGGTAGCATAGCCGCACTGATCGCGACGACTGAACGTGGACTTCAGGAAGCAACCGGTGAGGGAGAGCTCATGGAGTGCGGGTTCGAGTCGGGGCTGGGATGGCAGCTTGCGGTGAACGAGTCGAAGCGTGACCCTGTGGGTCCAGCGGCGCGCGCGCCCTTGCCCAATGCAATTCGGGGTTACGTCGAATGACCGAGTTTTCACCTCTGCAGCAGGAATAAATCTGGCTCGGACGGGCGGCGCTGTAATTTCTCCTCTGGGGTTGGCGCCACCCTAAGAGGCGCGCCGAAGGTTGGCGCGCGGGGCGAAGTTGCCCTGGTGCCCGCCGCGGGGGGAGTCGTTGCATCCGTTCCCTCCGCCTCTTGTTCGAGCCCCCCTGCACGTGCCGCCGCGCGCGTTTGGTTTAGAACATATGCCAGGGTGGGGAACAGGTGGCGTCTTCGCGGACGAGGGTGCGCGCGCCTCTCTCTCTCTCTCTCTCTCTCTCTCTCTTAGCGCGCGCGTATCATTACTCATTCTCACATCTACTTCACCGACCCTTGCAGCTATGTCGGACGACATCGCCATGAACACATCCATATACAATGCCCATATGCAAGGGGTCCCCAGGGTTAGGATATCAGAACAAGAGAGCTGACGAAAGACACATCCCCCCAGCCCCTCGTCCTGAGAGGCCCCTGGGGGTCCCTGGAACCCTCCAGCAATCCGACGAGGCCTGGGCACTGAACCTTCGAAGTTCGAGTTTTGACGTTGGAATTTTGACCGTCGAAGTTCGAATTTCGAACTTCTGAGATGCAACTTTAAGCATGGCCCCAAGATTGAGGGTCCATGCGAACGTGCCCACTGTGGCCACTGGGGGATCCGCATGGGGCCACAAAACGTGTGAGTGGTCTGCCGAGATACGCGGGGCGACGCCATGCGGACGCAGCCACATCGGGCTTCGGTGGAGCTCCATATAGGGCTCAGGATCGTGCGAGGGGTGTGCCGAAATGAGGCGTGGCGCCAGGCGAACGCGGCAACAGGAGCATTCCGTGGAGCCCCCTATGAGGCAACGAAGAGATTAAATAGCGCGCCGAAAAATGACCCGAGACAGCATGCGAACGCAGACACTGGGGCCTTCGGTGGAGCTCCCTGTGGGGCCACGAGTCGTGTGGAGGGTGTACCGAAACGGGGGCGGGGCGCCATGCGAACGTAGCCATTGGGGCCTACAGTGGAGCACCTTTTGGTGTCACGAAGCGCGTGAGGGGTGCGCCGACATAGGGGGCGGTGAAACTCCCTATGGTGTCACAAAGCGTGTGAGGAGTGCACCGGAGTCGGGCGGGCCGCCATGCGAACGCAGTCAGTGAAACCTTCGGTGGAACTCCTTGTGGGGCCACGGAACGTTTGAGGGGTGCACCGAAATGGGGCACCATGCGAACGCAGCCACTGGGGCCGTTGGTGGAGCTCCCGATGGAGACACGAAACGCGTGTGACGGGAGCGCTAGTATGGGGCGGGGCACCATGTGAACGCAGCCATTGGGGTCTTCGGTGGAGCTCCCTGTGGGGTCGCGAAGCGTGTGAAGGGGTGTGCCGAAACTGGGGCGGGGCGCCATGCAAACGCAGCCATTGGGGCCTTCAGTGGAACACCTGATTGGGTCACGAAGCGTGTGAGCGGTGCGTCGAAACGAAGGCGGGGCAACATGCGAAAGCAACCGGGGGTCTCCGTTGGAACTCCCCATGGTGTCACGAAACGCGTGAGGCGTGCGCCGAAATGGGGGCAGGGCTCTATGCGAACGCAGCCGCTGGGGCCTTCAGGGGAGTTCCCTGTGGGGCAACGAAGTTTTCGAGGGATATGCCGAATTGCGGCAGTTAATCATGTGGACCCTGTCACAGGAGCCGTCGGTGGAGCTACTCCTGGAGCCACGAAACGTGTGAGCGTTGCGCCGATTTCATGATGATGATGATGATGATGATGATGATGATGATGATGATGATGATGATGATGATGATGATGATGATGATGATGATGATGATGATGCAGATGTTCATGATTATGTTAATGATGGCGATGGTAATGGTCATGGTCATGGCGATGGTGATGATGATGGTGATGGTGATGGTGATGATGACGACGACGGTGATGATGATGGTGGTGGTGATGATGATGTTGAGATGATGATGATGATGATGCTCATGCTAATGATGATGGTGATGGTGATGGTGATGATGGTGACGATGATGATGATGATGATGATGATGATGATGATGATGATGATGATGATGATGATGATGATGATGATGATGATGATGATGAAAGGGGATGAAGGAGCTAATGATGATGATGATGATGATGATTATGATGATGATGATGATGATGATGATGATGATGATGATGATGATGATGATGATGATGATGATGATGATGATGATGATGATGATGCTGATGATGATGATGATGATGATGATGATGGTGATGATGAATGACGCTTGTAATGCAAATGGAGGCGACGATGCTGACGACCATAATTCCGACGACGGCGATGATGCTGATGACTAGGATGACGAGGACGAGGAGAGGAGTGAGGAGGGGTAGGAGGAGAGAAGGAGGAGCGCGCGGCACTGTGGATTTACAACGAGGGCCCCCCATTCAGGAATGTTGGTAACATTTCTTCCTCTTTTTCACCCTTCTCCCAATCCTAATCCTCCTCCCCGTGATCCCTCTCCGCATCGTCCTCCCTAATTGCCGTTTCCCTCGCAGGCTCCGCAGTATCCGATGAGCAGCTACGCCCCCTCGCAGAGTTTCCCCACCGCGCCGTCGATGTCCTACAGCCCGTCCATGATGTCGGGCGGGTGGCAGCAGGCGGTTCGGTCCAATGTCAGTGGCGGAAGAAGTGGGAAGAAATGGGGAAGTAGGGGAGGTATTGGCCCGACCACAACCAACTCCGGGCCACATCTCCCATAGAAGCTAACGGCACGATGCATGAGTTTCCACTCCGTTTCTCCTTTCCCCCGTTCCTCCCTCATTGTTTGCTTCGGCCCCCTCCTCACACTTTCCCTTTCTCCTTCCAAGGGCGTCCACCAGGGCTTATGGGGAATATCAGGGACCTTCTCGGTGCGAGGTTCAGCCTCATCTTGACTTGATTGCTGGTCAGGCTTGCTTCAGACCAGGCCATTCTACGGTTAGCCACGCGTTTACCTCCCACTTCCTACGAGCGCACGGTCGAATACGTTTTACATGGCATCCGGCATAATCGAGCACGAGAGCGTAAGGGCAGCTCTGAGGGGTCATGTCGCTCGGATGGAACAGTTCCTACAATACGTTTCGCTGACTTTCCAGCAGTCTGCAGGGGAACACACACGCACACACATTGATCCTTGACGTTTCCCACTCAGTAAGTGCCGCCTGATTCACATACTTGCTCCAGTGACCACCGAGTGTCAAACCAAACGCAAGCGAGTCGTATTTTGACTTACGGCCACAGCCGTGCCGTTTCGTCTCGCCGACGGCATGGCCATCGCCAACCACACGCTCTACGCTGCGATGTTTGATGACATTGTGAGCCAAGTCTGACCCCGTGGACTCTTGCTGCATCCTACCCGGATCAAGCCACTGTGCAACCTCACGCAATGCACGGCCAGGGCGGGTTCGCACACGCCTCACGTCCATGATACAGACTCTGGTAGTTTGTCGTACTCTGGCAGTTTCAAATACGGCCCGGCGACCAGCTTCCATAAGCACATGAAAACGGAAACCCATCAATACACGAAAACGTTGGCGCCAAGCCACAGCAGGGCTACAGACAAGCACGCCCATGTAGACTGCAGCGCCACCGTGCGCTTCCACTCGCATCGTGGTTATGAGTGCACGCTGCGCTTCTTGTTTATCGTCGTCATGATCGAAGACGGCCTGTGCCTTTGAGAAGCGCCCCTGCGGCCGGACGCTGTTGTTGTGATATGGATGCGCGCGCGGCGCGGATCTTTAGGCGAAAGCGAGCGCGGCTCGAGCGATCTGCGCAGCACTTCGGCCAAGGGCCCTGAGAAATAAAAATGGCAGCGGCGAGCAAGGAATTGTCGGCGTCGCTGATGCTGACGTATGGGAAGTAGGCGTTGGTGACGGCGTCGCTGGCGCTGTCGGAGAAGTAGGCGTGGATGACGGCGTCGCTGAAGCTGTCGTAGGAGTTGGCAGGGTAGGCGTAGATGTCGGCGTCGCTGACGCTGACGTGGATGATGCTAGCGTCGCTGACGCTGGAGAGGGCGCTGAGCAACGGCGCGACCAGGCAAGTCAGGAAGCCGCTGGGCTTCGATTCAGGAAGACGCGTCGCATACGCCGTCTTGCGATATGTACGGCCGCAGGCCGGGATAGCGGAACGGCTTCGCTCCAGGCTACCACTGTGATATGGATGCGCGCGCGGCGCGAATCTCTGGGCGAAAGCGAGCGCGGCTCGAGCGATCTGCGTAGCACTTAGGCCAAGGGCCCTGAGAAATAAAAATGGCAGCGGCGAGCGAGGAATGAAACCACAGGCCCCTCAAGGCTTCTGGGGAAACCCTCTCGGGCCTCTTACATTCCTGGGGAGTGAGCTTGATTCGCAGTTGTCAGAGCTCGGCCACGCTGTCGGATTGGTGGGGACACCTGGGGAAGTTAGAGGAAGAGGACGAGGGAGGAAGCAGGAGGAAGAGGAATATGATGATGATGGTGAGGGGGAGGAGGAGGAGGAGGAGCAGGAGCAGGAGCAGGAGCAGGAGGAGGAGGTGTGAATTGTACTCCATGCAGCGCATGTGTCGGAGGTTTGGTTTTCTGACCAAGATGTTAGATCAGACTCCCCCTTTCGCTTCAGCACGTCAGAATGCACAGTAGCAGCAGGCAGCAGATAGAGAAGGGATGGGAGCATCTACCGATGCTATTTCAGTTCGAGAGGCTTCTCGCGCTTGGCAAGAAAGGAGCGATTCGTTCCTCCGGGCACGCAGGGCGGTATCTTGGAGGCAGGGCGCGGAGAAGTTGGCACATATTCGGACTTCGATTCGAGGGGTACGGAGACTTAGAGTGCGCCGACCACTTGACATTGGTCGCGGAGCTACGGCTCCACGGACAACGACAATCTGTGACCGCCCACGGAGGGAAACTAATCCAAAAGCGAAGCAGGCGGCAGCACCCCACGCCATGCAGGCCCGGCACCCGAGTTCGACGGCTCCCTTGGGAACTACAAGGCTTTCAGGAAGAAGGTGGAGATCTACGCCGCCAGAGCTAGAGGCAAATAGATAGAGAAGTTCGTCGGTCTCGAGGTCATGCAGCGCCTGTGGGGCCGAGCATGGGACGTAGTGGAGGTCATAAGCATTTTGCATATCGAGGCCGAGCAAGGATTGATGACACAATTGCAGTCTCTGGAACCCGCGTACAAATACGATCCGGTGACAGAACTACTGACAGATTTCGCGATTTGTTCTTCCGCGAGGCTCGCAATCCGAGGGGGCCCCTGATCGACTACTTGACGATGTTCCGCGTGGCGGAGAGAAAAATCAGGACGCACAACGCGCTCCCACAGCAGGTGCTGGGGTGCCATATCTTTCGGCGAGCTGGATTGGACAAGGAAGGCAAGCAGCTCATCATGAATGATATTGGGGACAACCTCACCCTCGACAAGGTCGAAAGCCAGCTGGAGATGACATCCGGCCCAGACTCTATGCCGTCGAATCGGGCGAGTTCTGGAGCTGCAGCCTACCAGGTGGACGAGTACTGCGACGGCGACGACGAGTACCATGAGTGCGGTTTGCAAAGTCACGCAGTGACGCATGCCAGCTCTTCCCCAAGATATGCGACAACCCCGATGACGTGGTTTTCGCGCGCATGACGGACGCAGCGCTGGCTGCGCGGAGGGGCGGCAACTCGCGCGGCGGATGCTTGATCATAGCCGCCCACGAGGGCAGGTTGAAGGGCGATCGTGAGAGCTACCGAGAGTGAGCCGGTCTCTGTTGGCGAGCGAGGCCCAGGCCGCTGCAGGCGGAGCCGACGCCGTGGAGCGCGTGAAGGTTCATTGCAGTCCCATGCTCGGCCCGAACCGAGACCCGAGGCTCAATGCCATTGGCATGAGGGCGCTCGCGGTGGACGCGATGGCTCTCTACGGCGCCGCCCAAGAGCCACGCGCGCGCAATTTCGACGACGAGCGGACGGGCATCGAGGTTTCAGGTGCTGCAGGATCGCGCGATGCCGAGCGCGACCTGCTGGCAGTGGGTCAGCTCGGATCTGGCAGCGCGACTGCTACTGGCAGACCACCTCAGATCTGGGACGACCAGCTTGACGCACGACGACAAGTTCCAGGCCGCGAGAAAGAATGCCGCCAAGGATAGGCAGATGGAGGAGCGGAAGCACGCCATTCCGAAGCTCAAGGCGGCGGAGAAGGCAGCGGCGACGGCGAGCTTCATTGGCATCGCGGCTGCAGCCAGCAACGTGGACAAGTACAAGGCGAAGGAGGACGACGGCCTGGTGAGTTTTGTGTGACATGAGACCCCCTACGATCGTGATATGCATTCTCCTCGTGACTGCCGAGGTGGATGGCGAACGTCATTGTGTGCATCATGATTTGGGCGGGAGTTTTCCTTGCAGGGTGCCGTGGCAGGGCGCAGACTATTGATGCTATTACAGAGTGCCGCGACAAGGCACAGGCGACGAATGCTGCTACGGAGTGCAGCGACAGGGCGCAGACTACGGATTTCATCCCCAGCGAGAGCGAGACGATGAAGAAACATGACAAGCAGAAGCGGACCTACTGCAACGCCGGAGCGATGGGCCAGGTGACCTACACCGGAGTTGGCAAGGAGAGCGGAGGCCGCTACATCCACCAGACCCAGGGCTTCGTCAGGGCTTGGGAGGTCACCGGGGAGTTCCCACAGGGTTCATGGCTTCACGGTGACTGAGGCGCCCCGGCAAGACACGTTTTGCATGTATTTTCTCGTCTCGCGTTTCTTCTCTTCCACCCCCTCGCAATGGAGCAGAGGTCCAACCGATCCGAGGTCAGATTGTTCAGCGGTTTGAGCTGCCCACCTGAGAGGCGCAACGACTCTCGAGCTGAGTCTGCGTGCGAAGTTGGAATGATCTATCCACACTTCAGGAGGTGAGTTTATCCTTCCTACTGGTGTCCTTTTCTTCCTTTGTTCACCCGCGTGAATTGTTGTAGACCCTGAGGGCCGAGGGCCTAGCCTAAGGCTGAGGCCTACCCCTAGGGCCCACCCCTTGGGCTACCCTAGGCCTGCCCGCGCAGAACCGCATTGGCCGGAGGAGAAGCACGAGCATGGAGGAGGAGGAGGAGGAGGAGGAGGAGGAGGAGGCAACCCCGATGTCGCCGCCTTGGCGCAAGACAGCGCCGCCGTCGACCGTCGACCGTCGACCGGCTCGGTTTCGCGTCGTCGTCGTCGTTGTCGCCGTTGTAGTCGTCGTTGAAGGGGGGCCCTTTCAGGGAGGGCCCCCGACGGGGGGGTCCACGAAGGGGGCGGGTGTCTCAGAGGGGCAGGATCCCGAGAGAGGGGTGGGCCCGATGGGGGTGGTTCAAGTAGGGGGTCACCGACGGGTTGTCCCCGAGAGGAGAGGTTCTCGAAGACGGGGTTACCGAGGAGGGGCCCTCGACAGAGGGTCCCCGAAGGGGTGTTCCGAAGGGGAATCGCCGAAGCAGGTCACCGATGGGGGAGTCACTGAGGGGGTGTCTCCGAGGGAGGGGCCCCCGATGGGGGGAGTCCGAGGGGGGGTGGTCCGAGGGGGGTTTCCGAGGGGAGGTGGGGGTGGCTGGGTCCCCGAGGGGGGGTCACCGAGGAGAAAAGAATCGCTCTCCGGGAGAGGGTTACTTCTCCGGGAAAAGGGTTACTTCTCCAGGC